CGCTGTCTCCTGGCACGGCCGCTCCAGACCCGTCGCCATCTTAGAATTAACCACAATTTAAAAGAACATAAATTAATCTACTTGTGATTGCACCCCTTTCCCTTAAATGTTTTCATACTGTTTTGTGAAATAATTTGCATGGTTTCTTTTCAGGTATGTGAATGCTCATGCTTGTTTTCTGTCTTTTAGGGCTCAAAACGTTCTGGAATGATATCTTCAGCTTGTGATAAAGAGTCAAATATGCAAGTACAATCAGTGCATTAATCTATTATTTTGTTCCCTTCAAGATTCACTTCAGTACTCTGTTGTAAATAATGTATTTTTCTCCATTGTAGGGAAAAACGGGTTGTCATGATTTCTAAATCAGAATATTCTATGCAGTCATCTCTGGCAGCCAAAACTGATGTTCAGCAGGTTGTTATGTATTGCAAGGAGAAGCTTATTCGTGGAGAATCAGAATTTTCTTTTGAAGAACTGAGAGCCCAGAAATACAATCAACGGAGAAAGCATGAGCAATGGGGTACTTGCAGTCTTACACTTTGAGTTATTCTTGTCACTTAAAATAATCCTCATCTCTGAGTAATTACATTTTTGATGAAATAATTGACTGTGCTGAAAGACTCTGCAAAAAGTCTCCAGATCATTCTATCAGAAGCCTAGGAATCTTTGTTGAACCCTATTGTAACAGCCACATTTGTCCAAGGACTAAATCGATGTCTTGACAGCAAAGCTCATAGTTGAATCCTCATCTCTTAGTAATTACATTTTTGATGAAATAATTGACTGTGCTGAAAGACTCTGCAAAAAGTCTCCAGATCATTCTATCAGAAGCCTAGGAATCTTTGTTGAACCCTATTGTAACAGCCACATTTGTCCAAGGACTAAATCGATGTCTTGACAGCAAAGCTCATAGTTGAAAGAGCACAAAAGTAGATGTCCACACCAGTGTTACCTTACCTTTAGTGAAATAGATATTTTTAAAGTTTTCAATATTATCTGTATGGATTCCAACTTCTATATATAGTAACTTTAAACCTCCAGGTCAGTTATTTGTATTGTGAAAGGATTAAGTTAGTAACTGAAGTTCAGAAGAGACTTTCTAAGATCTGCACCTACTACAAATAAATTATTCAGAAGGCGTCCTCTGATCAAAGTGCCATGTTATTTATGGTTATATAGTGGATCAAGTTTTGTTCCTCACAGGGAAAACCTTGTGCCTTGACACCAATATTTGCACTTGGCTTTGCTGTAACGACATGGACTTTAGAGAGGAAAATGAACCTTTCTTCCGCTCAGGGCTTTTATACCATCTAAAGAGGTATACATACCATAGCCATCCTGAGGGCCTTTCTTTTTTATTTATTTTTCATATTTGGTCACCAACAGAGAGAATGATCAGTTGATATTCATGGAGGACCTATTTTGTACCAGGCATAGATGCGTTTTTCTTTCAAATGCCATGACCTCAAATCTCAAGCCAGACCCTTGGATTTGTCTATGGTATGGCATGTTAACCACTTATTAGAAGTGACATTGACGGGGCCGGCCCGGTGGCGCA